TCAATAATTTGATTTCTGTTCAGTTGATTGAAATAACAGAGCATCCAAGAAGTCTGAGCTCATTGATTTTAATCTGACGTGTAAAACAACTTGTTCTTATTTTGACAGAGTTTTCCACTTCATGCTGCCCACTCATGTCTGGGACTCATTTTGTGTCATATAAACTCTTGAATTTAAAACTTTAGCTGATGTGCTTCAGGTACGTTTAATTTGAGTCATTAGCCGTCTGATGGACGCACAGCCAGAGAGGGATTACAGAGAGCGACTGGAAACAGTCCACTTCAGTGGCACCATTAAAGCAGGCCAGCTTAAATAGAAATGTGGGTTCTGGAGCCGGATGTTGGAAAACTGTGACGTGTGCCTGTAAGAATTTGATATGATTATCGTGAAATTAACCTGACCGACAGGAATGCAGAGTCCCAACCAGTTTGTTGCAGGTCTGCGTTTTGGAAGTCAGAGTGTGCAACAAGGGAGAGACAAACCATCTGCAGGAAGTCATTTATCTCGCACAGGGTTCCTTCATTTAACCTCACATTGAAAGAGCAGGGACCACCCCCTCTTTGTAATATCATAAAGAGCCAAAAGTAGTAAAAGCTGTGATAAGCTGTGTTCAGAGCAGCCTGCTCACGGGGATTGCTGACCTCGTTATCTGAAACTGTAGCCGTGTTTCATGTGATCGTGCTCCAACACAACAGAAGGTCAGCTTTAAACCTGCAGAACAATGACGCGCTGCGGCAGATTGATTTCACTCGGGCGTGCCGGTGAGAGACACAGTCAACCAAACCCTCAGGTGTTCTTCATCTGAGTCATTACAGGCATGCAGGCACACGCTGTGATTGGACAGTTTGAACACATACAGACTTTGATTGGTTGTTGAAAAAAGCCTCATAGTAAAAGGAAACACAAGAAACGGGAAGAAGTTAGGAAAATATTTTGACAATTTTTATGGATTTTCAAAAACATGATTTTCATTTATTTTCTCATTTAGTATTTATACAAATGTTTTTTCATACAGAGAGTTTGTAAACATTAAAAACAGAATCATAAACCCCACACATATATATATATAAAATTTAAAAAAAAAACATGTCACACAAACAGTTTACAGTGTAGAACATCATCATGTATTTACAGCGAGGCCAGTTTCCACGTCATGGCTGCTCGTGTTGTATTCAAAGACACGCGTCTCGTGTTTCAGACAACAGAGGACTCACATCTTGGTTTTAATACATTCTGTTTGTGTGTTTTCCCAAACCGGAGACGGTGAGAGATGTTTATGGCTTTCAGAAAATCAGCTACAGAGATCCAGATAAAAACCGACACAGCAGTTCCTCTAAC